GCACTTATGCAAGCATTTACGAACCTGGGCCCAGATTCACGAAGCAGTTATGCAAGCATTTACGAACCTGGGGCTAGATTCACGAAGCACTTACGCAAGCACTTACGAACCTGGGGTCAGATTCACGAAGCATTTATACAAGCACTTACGAACCTGGGGCTAGATTCACGAAGCACTTACGCAAGCACTTACGAACCTGGGGCCAGATTTACGAAGCAGTTACGGAAGCACTTACGAACCTGTCCATCTTTTCTCAATCTTTGGCGGCTTTGTTTACAATTATTAAACAGTTAATGAGCTCCGAAGCACCAGGAGGCTGTTTATAACAATAACAACAGTTGATTGGCAAGTTTTCATGCTTGTAAACTGTTTAATAAATGTAACCAAAGCCGTCAAAGATTGAGGAAAGATGTACACGTTCGTAAGTACTTTCGTGAATCTGGCCCCAGGTCCGTAAGTGCTTGCGTAACTGCTTCGTGAATCTAGCCCCAGGTTCGTAAGTGCTTGCGTACCTGCTTTCTGAATCTGGCCCCAGGTTCGTAAGTGCTTGCGTAACTGCTTTCTGAATCTGGCCCCAGGTTCGTAAGTGCTTGCGTAACTGCTTCATGAATCTAGCCCCCAGGTTCGTAAGTGCTTGCGTAACTGCTTCGTGAATCTGGCCCCAGGTTCGTAAGTGCTTGCGTAACTGCTTCGTGAATCTAGCCCCAGGTTCATAAGTGCTTGCGTAACTGCTTCCTGAATCTAGCCCCAGGTTCGTAAGTGCTTGCGTAACTGCTTCCTGAATCTAGCCCCCAGGTTCGTAAGTGCTTGCGTAACGGCTTCGTAAATCTGGCCTCAGGTCCGTAAGTGCTTGCGTAAGTGCTTCGTGAATCTGGCCCCAGGTTCGTAAGTGCTTGCGTAACTGCTTTCTGAATCTAGCCCCAGGTTCATAAGTGCTTGCGTAACTGCTTGGTGAATGTAGCCCCTGTTTACCAAGCGAGACAACACCATTCCACCAGCGGCTGAAGGTGGTCTTATCCCGGTAGCATAGTTTTGGTAGCCGCGCGGACGCATAAGTGTGGATTGTGGGGGTGCGCGACCAAGGGCGCTCAGAGCGAACAATCACCGGTCGTGTTAATGTGTGCCCCAGCACGACCTCTCGCCGCTATTCTCGTTCCAACCATGTTACCCAAACTACCCATGGGTAAACTGCGGCAGTATTTGGCGTGGGTTAGAATATCTGAGGGCCCAGTACTCCACCCTGTGGCTCTCTTCCTTCCTATGTTCTTAGTCTCAGGGGTCCCTGGCCCTTATAGTGAGGCCCCTAGGGCCCTTATAGTGAGGCCCCTAGGGCCCCTATGGCTCCTATGGTGAGGCCCCTATGGCGAGGCCCCGTGGCTATAGATTCACGAAGTAGTTATGCCAGCACTTACGAACCTGGGGCCAGATTTACGAAGCAGTTACGCAAGCACTTACGAACCTGGGGCGAGATTCATGAAGCAGTTACGCAAGCACTTACGAACCTGGGGCCAGATTCATGAAGCAGTTACGCAAGCACTTACGAACCTGGGGCCAGATTTACGAAGCAGTTACGCAAGCACTTACGAACCTGGGGCCAGATTTACGAAGCAGTTACGCAAGCACTTACAAACCTGGGGCCAGATTCACGAAGCAGTTACGCAAGCACTTACGATCCTGGGGGCCAGATTCACGAAGCAGTTACACAAGCACTTACAAACCTGGGGCCAGATTCACGAAGCAGTTACGGAAGTACTTACGAACCTGGGGCCAGATTCACGCAGCAGTTACGCAAGCACATACGAACCTGGGGCCAGATTCACGAAGCAGTTACGCAAGCACATACGAACCTGGGGCCAGATTCACGAAGCAGTTACGCAATCAGTTACGAACCTGGGGCGAGATTCATGAAGCAGTTACGCAAGCACTTACGAACCTGGGGCCAGATTTACGAAGCAGTTACGCAAGCACTTACGAACCTGGGGCCAGATTTACGAAGCAGTTACGCAAGCACTTACAAACCTGGGGCCAGATTCACGAAGCAGTTACGCAAGCACTTACGAACCTGGGGGCCAGATTCACGAAGCAGTTACGCCAGCACTTGCGAACGTGTACATCTTTCCTCAATCTTTGACGGCTTTGGTTACATTTATTAAACAGTTTACAAGCATGAAAACTTGCCAATCAACTGTTGTTATTGTTATAAACAGCCTCCTGGTGCTTCGGAGCTCATTAACTGTTTAATAATTGTAAACAAAGCCGCCAAAGATTGAGAAAAGATGTACAGGTTCGTAAGTGTTTGCGTAACTGCTTCGTGAATCTGGGCCCAGGTTCGTAACTGATTGCGTAACTGTTTCGTGAATCTGGGCCCAGGTTTGTAAGTGCTTGCGTAACTGCTTCGTGAAGCAGGCAGCTCTCAGCCTGCTAGGCGACAGACTCAGCTCCTGGTACCCAGACGTTCGAAGCAGCACGGTCTATGGCGATCCCGTCGCACATGCCTGACACAGGAGGAGATGTAGGGGACTTGGCCGCCGCTTTTGCCTGACCTTGGGAGCACAAGTGAGCTCTCCGGGGCTCTCTAGAGCTCTCTACAGAGCCGTGTAAGGGTGAGACGTCGTGTGATGTCGCTATGCATCACGCTGATTGGCTGTCGCTGAACCATTCAACCACGTGTCATCTGCCTCCTTATTGGCTGTAACAGGTCACGTGATGGAATGGTCAGAGGACGCGCTCTGTCTTACGTTATCTTACTCCTTACGCTATCTTATGCTATCTTACTCCTTACGCTATCTTATGTTATCTTACTCCTTACGCTATCTTACTCCTTACGCTATCTTATGTTATCTTACTCCTTACGTTATCTTACTCCTTACGCTATCTTATGCTATCTTACTCATTACGCTATCTTATGCTATCTTACTGCTTACGCTATCTTACTGCTTTACGCTATCTTACTCCTTACGCTATCTTATGTTATCTTACTCCTTACGCTATCTTACTGCTTACGCTATCTTACTGCTTTACGCTATCTTACTCCTTACGCTATCTTATGTTATCTTACTCCTTACGCTATCTTATGCTATCTTACTCCTTACGCTATCCTACTCCTTACGCTATCTTTTTCTCGTACAAAAATATACATTTTTATCCATACAAATAGCAGCTGTCTAACTCCCAGGTACCTATTTACTGCTAGGTGAACAGGGCCATCAGGGTGAAAGAAACTCTGCCCATTTGTCTCCACCGGGGATCGAACCCTAGAACCTCAGGACTACGAATCCCGAGCGCTGTCCACTCAGCCATCAGGCCCTATAGTATGTATATTCACTATTAGTGCCTGCAGGATCGTAGGTGTTAGTTCCTGGGCCCCGGCTCTCTAACCGTCTAATGTGGTGTCTGGAGGGTCCAGTGGGAGCCCGTACGAAACCTCTACATCTTTTGAAGGAAGATTGTGCCTGAAATATTCAGGCAGAACTGGTATGGAGAGGTCAAGTGTATGAGGAAAGTCAAACCTTGCAACGCTACAGGTGTGTGAGTCAAACCTTGCAACGCTACAGGTGTGTGAGTCAAACCTTGCAACGCTACAGGTGTGCGAGTCAAACCTTGCAAGGCTACAGGTGTGTGACTCAAACCTTGCAACGCTACAGGTGTGTGAGTCAAACCTTGCAATGCTACAGGTGTGCGAGTCAAACCTTGCAACGCTACAGGTGTGTGAGTCAAACCTTGCAACGCTACAGGTGTGTGAGTCAAACCTTGCAACGCTACAGGTGTGTGAGTCAAGCCTTGCAACGCTACAGGTGTGTGAGTCAAGCCTTGCAACGCTACAGGTGTGTGAGTCAAGCCTTGCAACGCTACAGGTGTGTGAGTCAAGCCTTGCAACGCTACAGGTGTGTGAGTCAAGCCTTGCAACGCTACAGGTGTGTGAGTCAAACCTTGCAACGCTACAGGTGTGTGAGTCAAGCCATGCAACGCTACAGGTGTGTGAGTCAAACCTTGCAACGCTACAGGTGTGCGAGTCAAACCTTGCAACGCTACAGGTGTGTGAGTCAAACCTTGCAACGCTACAGGTGTGTGAGTCAAGCCTTGCAACGCTACAGGTGTGTGAGTTAAACCTTGCAACGCTACAGGTGTGTGAGTCAAACCTTGCAACGCTACAGGTGTGTGAGTCAAACCTTGCATCACTACAGGTGTGTGAGTCAGTGCCACACTACCACCCCCACATTACCACCCCCACATTACCACCCCCACACTACCACCCCCACACTACCACCCCCACACTACCACCCCCCACACTACCACCCCCACATTACCACCCCCACACTACCACCCCCCACACTACCACCCCCACATTACCACCCCCACACTACCACCCCCACACTACCACCCCCCACACTACCACCCCCACATTACCACCCCCACACTACCACCCCCACACTACCACCCCCACACTACCACCCCTCACACTACCACCCCCACACTACCACCCCCCACACTACCACCCTCACACTACCACCCCCACACTACCACCCCCCACACTACCACCCCCCACACTACCACCCCCACACTACCACCCCCACACTACCACCCCCCACACTACCACCCCCACACTACCACCCCCACACTACCACCCCCCACACTACCACCCCCACACTACCACCCCCCACACTACCACCCCCACACTACCACCCCCCACACTACCACCCCCACACTACCACCCCCACACTACCACCCCCACACTACCACCCCCCCACACCACGTGACCCCGCCACGTGTATAGTGCTGACGCAACAGGTGTCGGGGGGGGGGGGCGGGGGGGCGGGGTATAGCTTCGTCACGTGCGTGACGGAACAAGTGCCGTGCGCGTCACGTGCCCCGGGGGGTGGTGACGGGTGACGGGTGACGGGGGGTGGCGGGTGAGGGATCAGTTAGCGCGGGCGGCGGCGGCGGGTGGCTGCGGCGGGTGGCGGCGGCGGCGGGAGCAGCGGGCGGGGGTCGCGGCCGTACCGCGGACAGTCGCGCCGTCACAGTCCCGCCGAGCGGCCGCTACACGCTGCCCCGCTCGCTCCCACTCACGCGCCCTCTCTCCTCCACCACCAGGCCGCCCGCACGCCCGCACGCCCGCCCCCTGGTGAGTACCCCCTCACCCACCCGTCCCCCCGCACGCGCGTGTGTCTGTCTGTGTGTACCCGCCGCTGTGTGCACCAACCGTGTGCGTGTGTGTGTATGTGTCGCCCGCCGCCCACTTGTGAGCAATTAGTGGGCGTGAAGAGCCGCCCGCGGGTGTGGTGTGGGCGGCGAGGCAGTGAGGGCGGCCGACAGATAATCGGGTGCGGTTGTGCACTGCCAGCCGCCCTCCGCCCCCCCCCCGTCACTACTCATCCAGAAATAACTTGTTTAGATGTAATTTGCAACGGTGTGTCAAGTGGGCTGGTAGCAGCACCAGCAGCAGGAGCAGGAACAGCAGCAGGAACAGCGGCAGGAACAGCAGCACTGAAGCACTCTGTGACGCCACCAACACCAACACTCACTGTCCCTCTCCCTCTCTCTGACCTCAGCAGCTCCCGCACGCTGCCCCCACCACCACCACCACCACTACCACCATCACCACAGCCGCCACCAGTCTGTCAGTCGCCTGCTCCACCCACCTGTACTCCAACACTCTCCCCCGCCACCACCACCCCTACCCTGCTCTACAGCACCATCAACACCCCTACCCCACCAACACTCCCCCAATAACATCCCCCCACCACCAACACTCCCCCAATAACACCCCCCACCAACACTCCCCCAATAACATCCCCCACCACCAACACTCCCCCAATAACACCCTCCCCCACCACCAACACTCCCCCAATAACATCCCCACCACCAACACTCCCCCAATAACATCCCCCACCACCAACACTCCCCCAATAACATCCCCCACCACCAACACTCCCCCAATAACATCCCCCACCACCAACACTCTCCAATAATATCCCCCCCCCCCACCAACACTCCCCCAATAACATCCCCCACCACCAACACACCCCCAATAACATCCTCCACCACCAACACACCCCCAATAACATCCCCCCCCACCAACACACCCCCAATAACATCCCCCACCACCAACACTCCCCCAATAACATCCCCCCCACCAACACCTCCCCCAATAACATCCCCCACCACCAACACACCCCCCCACCAACACACCCCCAATAACATCCCCCACCACCAACACACCCCCAATAACATCCCCCCCACCAACACACCTCCAATAACATCCCCCCCACCAACACACCCCCAATAACATCCCCCACCACCAACACACCCCCATAACATCCCCCCCACCAACACACCCCCAATAACATCCCCCCCACCAACACACCCCCAATAACATCCCCCACCACCAACACACCTCCAATAACATCCCCCCCACCAACACACCCCCAATAACATCCCCCACCACCAACACTCCCCCAATAACATCCCCCCCACCAACACACCCCCAATAACATCCCCCCCACCAACACACCCCCAATAACATCCCCCACCACCAACACACCTCCAATAACATCCCCCCACCAACACCCCCAATAACACCCCCCCACCAACACCCCCCCAATAACACCCCCCCACCAACACACCCCCAATAACACCCCCCCCACCAACACACCCCCAATAACACCCCCCCACCAACACACCCCCAATAACACCCCCCCACCAACACACCCCAATAACACCCCCCCACCAACACACCCCCAATAACACCCCCCCACCAACACACCCCCACCAACACCCCCCAATAACATCCCCCCACCACCAACACACCCCCAATAACATCCCCCCCACCAACACACCCCCAATAACATCCCTCCCACCAACACACCCCCAATAACATCCCCCCCACCAACACACCCCCAATAACATCCCCCACCACCAACACACCCCCAATAACACCCCCCCCCCCACCAACACACCCCCAATAACACCCCCCCACCAACACACCCCCAATAACACCCCCCCACCAACACCCCCCCACCAACACCCCCCCACCAACACCCCCCACCAACACCCCCCCACCAACACCCCCCCACCAACACCCCCCCAATAACATCCCCCCCACCACCAACAAACCCCCCCACCACCAACACACCCCCAATAACATCCCCCCCACCAACACACCCCCATTAACATCCCCCACCACCAACACACCCCCAATAACACCCCCCCACCAACACCCCCCACCAACACACCCCCACCAACACCCCCCCACCAACACCCCCCCACCAACACCCCCCCAATAACATCCCCCCCACCACCAACACACCCCCAATAACATCCCCCCCACCAAGTCGGGGGAGCATGCCACAGAGCAACCAGCTATCCTGCCAGCCACACAACAAGCTATCCTGCCACCCACACAACATGCTATCCTGCCAGCCACAGAGCAACCAGCTATCCTGCCAGCCACAGAGCAACCAGCTATCCTGCCACCCACACAACATGCTATCCTGCCAGCCACAGAGCAACCAGCTATCCTGCCAGCCACACAACAAGCTATCCTGCCAGCCACACAACCAGCTATCCTGCCAGCCACAGAGCAACCAGCTATCCTGCCACCCACACAACAAGCTATCCTACCAGCCACACAATCAGCTATCCTGCCACCCACACAACAAGCTATCCTGCCAGCCACAGAGCAACCAGCTATCCTGCCACAGTCCGCCACACGTGACAGCTATAAATATATATATATAATAATTCCTCTCTGGATAATATTTCTTAAAAGCAATACAAATGAATATTTCGTAGGGACAAAATTGTTAATAAAAAAAGAGACCATTTGGAAGCGTCAGGTCTTAAGCCTAACTTGAGGTCTTAAGCCTAACGCTGGGAAAGTAACTGGACCCCCCTCCCCCCCCCTAGATGACGTAGCTGCCCCCCCCTCGACCGCCCCCCACGACCCCCCCCCAACCACCTCACTCGTAACAGACGACCTTCAATACACGTGCGTGTTAGTGCGTGCGTTTGTGCGTGTGTGTGTGTGTGTGTGTGTGTGTGTGTAGGGAGGTGAGTGTAAGGTGGTATAATGCCGCAGTTGAGCCGCAGCCTGCCGCAGCCTGCCGCAGCCTGCCGCAGCCTGCCGCAGGCCTCTTGGCGGGTGATGCCAGCCTATTGAAAGTAATGAATTGTTCGACTTTTTTAAATGTTTCTATAACTTTCATGTGTTGCTTGACGGCTTGATGCGATGGTGTGGTGATTTGTGGTGGTGTGTTGGTTTGTGATAGGCTGTGATGTGTTGTGTTGGTTTGTGATAGGCTGTGGTGTGTTGGTTTGCGATAGGCTGTGGTGTGGTGTGTTTGTGTTGGTGTGTTTGTGAGGGTGTGGTGTGTTGGTGCAGTGTGTTTGTGAGGGTGTGGTGTGTTGGTGTAGTGTGATGGTGTGGTGTGTTGGTGTAGTGTGATGGTGTGGTGTGTTGGTGTAGTGTGATGGTGTGGTGTGTTGGTGTAGTGTGATGGTGTGGTGTGTTGGTGTAGTGTGATGGTGTGGTGTGTTGGTGTAGTGTGATGGTGTGGTGTGTTGGTGTAGTGTGATGGTGTGGTGTGTTGGTTTGTGATAGGCTGTGATGTGTGTGTTGGTTTGTGATAGGCTGTGATGTGTGTACTCACCTATACTCACCTATATGTGCTTGCAGGATCGAGCATTGACTCTTGGATCCCGCCTTTCTAGCTATCGGTTGTTTACAGCAATGACTCCTGTCCCATTTCCCTATCATACCTAGTTTTAAAAGTATGAATAGTATTTGCTTCCACAACCTGTTCCCCAAGTGCATTCCATTTTTCTACTACTCTCACGCTAAAAGAAAACTTCCTATGTGTTGGTTTGTGATAGGCTGTGATGTGTGTGTTGGTTTGTGATAGGCTGTGATGTGTGTGTTGGTTTGTGATAGGCTGTGATGTGGTGTGTTGGTGTAGTGTGATGGTGTGGTGTGTTGGTGTAGTGTGATGGTGTGGTGTGTTGGTGTAGTGTGATGGTGTGGTGTGTTGGTGTAGTGTGATGGTGTGGTGTGTTGGTGTGGTGTGTTGGTGTAGTGTGATGGTGTGGTGTGTTGGTGTAGTGTGATGGTGTAGTGTGTTGGTGTAGTGTGTTGGTGTAGTGTGTTGGTGTAGTGTGTTGGTGTAGTGTGTTGGTGTAGTGTGTTGGTGTAGTGTGTTGGTGTAGTGTGTTGGTGTAGTGTGTTGGTGTAGTGTGGTGGTGTAGTGTGTTGGTGTAGTGTGTTGGTGTAGTGTGTTGGTGTAGTGTGTTGGTGTAGTGTGTTGGTGTAGTGTGTTGGTGTGGTGTGTTGGTGTAGTGTGATGGTGTGGTGTGTTGGTGTAGTGTGATGGTGTGGTGTGTTGGTGTAGTGTGATGGTGTGGTGTGTTGGTGTAGTGTGATGGTGTGGTGTGTTGGTTTGTGATAGGCTGTGATGTGTGTGTTGGTTTGTGATAGGCTGTGATGTGTGTGTTGGTTTGTGATAGGCTGTGATGTGGTGTTTGTGATAGGCTGTGATGTGTGTGTTGGTTTGTGATAGGCTGTGATGTGGTGTTTGTGATAGGCTGTGATGTGTGTGTTGGTTTGTGATAGGCTGTGATGTGGTGTTTGTGATAGGCTGTGATGTGTGTGTTGGTTTGTGATAGGCTGTGATGTGTGTGTTGGTTTGTGATAGGCTGTGATGTGGTGTGTTGGTTTGTGATAGGCTGTGATGTGTGTGTTGGTTTGTGATAGGCTGTGATGTGGTGTTTGTGATAGGCTGTGATGTGTGTGTTGGTTTGTGATAGGCTGTGATGTGGTGTTTGTGATAGGCTGTGATGTGTGTGTTGGTTTGTGATAGGCTGTGATGTGTGTGTTGGTTTGTGATAGGCTGTGATGTGGTGTTTGTGATAGACTGTGATGTGTGTGTTGGTTTGTGATAGGCTGTGATGTGTGTGTTGGTTTGTGATAGGCTGTGATGTGTGTGTTGGTTTGTGATAGGCTGTGATGTGATGTGTTGGTTTGTGATAGGCTGTGATGTGTTGTGTTGGTTTGTGATAGGCTGTGATGTGTGTGTTGGTTTGTGATAGGCTGTGATGTGATGTGTTTGTGATAGGCTGTGGTGTGTGTGT